TGAATTGAATTGAATTGAATCATACTCCGTATTATAACTACTATAATAATCTAATGCACACAGATAATGTGGATATAATAAAGTTGCAAAACCTTCAGAAATGATTTCGGCCCGTTTTCTCCAATAAACGCTCCCGACAGAGAAGAACCCCTTTATGTCTCCTTGGAGAACATGTACGAGCCGTTCCAAAGGGAGAACGTTAAGAAACCAACTTGTAACCGATGGTTTGACATCGTCTACCCAGTGCTGTAGGACTGATAACGGTGCACAGTACCATGGATGAGCTGCACTGCAGAGGGTTGAGCTCAATAGGACGCCGTATTACAGATCATCTGTGACCAGTTTCAACCCAAAATTGATGAACGTCTGACGGAGCAGCTTTGCAGCTTTCTAATCTCCTGTGTGTAGAGATGGTGAGCGGTCTGCTGAGGATCCTGGTGACATCTTGTGTCCACGTTGATCCTTTTATCTCCTCAGTCGGCCTCCCCGGGCTCTCAGCTGCTTACAGTACAAGAGGATTAGAGTTTCCCTGCAGGATCAGAGCAGAGCATCAGGCAGTGGAACCAGAGAATGGAGCGTGGTGGACCGGTGGAGGCGTTCAGGCTGCTGCTGGTTTGCTGTCTGGTTGTCGGGCCGGTGCTGGCCCAGGCCCGCCACCCTCTGCCTGCGCTGTGGGTAATGCCCGTCAGCTCCGGGTTGGGGAAGGAGAACCTGACCGCCGCTGTGGCACCGGCTGTCAAACTGGCTCTGCAGGATCTGCAGAGACAACCACCGCCGCTGGGAAACTACGAGATCCAGCTCCAGCTGCTGGACTCACAGGTGGGTCTCAGACTCTGTCCTCTTCCTCTGTCTGGAACCAGTATCACACTTATGTTTTCATGCCATGTTTCAGTGTGATCCTGCTAAATCACTCAAAGCTCTGTTTGATGCCATGTGGGCGGGACCAAAGTACCTGCTGGTGTTTGGAGGGGTGTGTCCATCTGTGATGGCGCTGATTGCTCGCTCTCTGCCAGCTCTCAACCTGGTGCAGGTACACTGGTCCACTTCAGGTTTATTGTGATTATTATAAAGTTGTTGCTAGTGTTTTGGACACATCTGTTGATTCATGTCCTCTGATGTCCCAGGTATCTTTTGCGGCCTCGCCCCCTAACCTGTCCAACAGGAAGTGGTACAGAAACCTGTTCAGCACGGTGCCGTCGGACCGGGCTCTGAACCAGGCCACAGTGAAGCTGCTGCAGCGCTACAGGTGGAGCAGAGTCGGTATCGTCACACAGGAAGGACCCAGACTCTCAGAGGTGATGCTGAGTATTATTCCTGATACTAGTGAGGATGCTGATAACGTCCTTGAGCCCCACCAACAAGCCAAAATCTGTTTCAATCACTACCCGGGTGGCAAACCTTTTTTTAGAAATCAGACTTAGAATCTTGTAAACGGTCATAATCCAGAAATGATCCTGTTTTGTCCACTGGAAGGGCCCAGAAGAGGGCACTTCATGCCCCTTTGCCCACTGGGTAGACCTCATCTCTATATTTGTACCTTCTTACGGCAGTAAGAATCTCTACCTGATTCTCTGTGTTTGTGCAGATGAAGAAGGATCTGATCAGACAGCTGCTGAAGGCTGAAGTCCAGGTTGTTTCCACAGAAAGTCTCTCTGAAGACGTCTGCAGCAGCGTGAAGAAGCTGAAGGTACTCACCCCTGGTGAATATTGTACGCACAGATTTAGATTTAACAGAGAGGTAGAATCTGTTTACGTCATGATGTCAAAATGATTCCTTTATTCTTTTACAGGAAAGTGATGTTCGGATCATCATCGCACAGTTTAAAGAGGATTCTGCCTCTGAAGTTTTCTGCTGTGTAAGTAACTTTATGGCCAAAAGTAGGTGGACACCCATATGGTCTGTTTTTCCTTGGTCCTCTTAGATATAATGAAAGGAAATCTAAATACAGCAACGTACAGTGATATTTGAAAGCCAGCTCCATAGAGAAATAGTTTGCTGTATAAGAACTTTACTGGCATTGTCGGATGCTGATATCAAACAAGTGTGTAAAAGTAATCCCTGTGAGCAGAAAGCTCAGAATTCAGACTGCTCTGAACGTTTCCAACCTTCTTTTTCTACCGTACATGTCCAGCCGACGTCGGCTAATCACAGATTTCTTTATATGGTTATGTGCTCCAGGCTGAGCACTACTGAGCATGCCCACGAAGTACATGGACCTGCTCAGTTTTTCCTGTTGTGAGACAGATTTTCCTCTGATGTCCTACAGCTTCTCAGCCTCAACTCTCTTACAGAGCTTACTGGTGCACATTTACTTGTAGCTATTAGCTTACCGCTAACTTCTGCTAACGGACTGGGAGCTCGAGGCCCTGGGGCTACCGTTAAACACAGACACTGAGCTCCCAGTCCGGGTAGTGTCACCGAATAGGATGGGTCTTAGCTGCTAACCGCTAACAACAAGTCACTAAGGCTGTATGTCTATCAGGAAACTCCCAGAGAGTTGAGGCAGAGCAGCCAGAGGACGTCAGAGACAATATTCTCTGATCCAGTTTCACCAAAATCACTGATAAAATTATAAAGTTGAGCTTTTGTAGAGGAATCAGTGAAACACAAGAACTGAGAATATAGAGCTGAAAATGAGCGTTATAGGTACCCTTTAATGAATATTACACTGACACATATGAAAACGTTGAGCTGTCTGCATACTTTTGACCACATATTTTGTGATCCCACCACTACGACACAAAACCTGCCTGAAAAAGAGCCAATAAGTAGATTCTGAACAGTGCAGCTGAACTGGTTCTCTCCAGGAGTCCAGTGAGTGTCAATGGAGGCGATAAGATCCTGTTTCACAGTTCTTGCTGATAAAAGTGTTCCAGGATTAATTTGATAACAGCAGCTGCTGTCTGTGGGACTCTCAGGCCTACAGGCTGAACCTGTTTGGACCTCGGTACCAGTGGATCGTAATTGACGGAGGAACGTCTGGATGGAGGCTGGGGTGGCAGGGTTCTGGCTGTACGGCCGACAGTCTGCTGACGGCTGCAGACGGATCCATCCGGCTGCAGATGAAACAGCTCAGCAGCACGAACACTCCGGGAGTCTCTGGACGGGTCAGTTCTGGTCTCTTCTATGTGCGGTGTTTCAGTAATGACTCTAACTGACTGTTGTTAACTGCAGACTCCTCAGGACTACCAGGACTCCTACCTCAGACAGCTGATCCAAGAGGGGTCAAAGGTCAGCGGCCTCCACACCTTCGCCTACGACGCTGTTTGGGTCGCTGCCAAAGCTCTCAGTCAGGTGATGGAGGCTGTGAAACGCCGAGATAAGTACAGCGTCCAGAGGAACATCAGTGTCAGTGAGGAGGAGGTCCACAGGATGCTGCTGGAGGCCGTGAAGCAGACGCAGTTTGAAGGAGTCACAGTAAGCGCATCCACACACCTGTAGCACACACCTGTAACACACACCTGTTACACACCTGTTACATACCTGTAACACACCTGTAACACACACCTGTAACACACACCTGTAACACACCTGGCACTGCAGTATTTATTATATGAATGTTTTAAAATGTCTGCAGGGTCCAGTTTCCTTTCGGAACGGAGACAGAATGACGTCGATGGAGCTGATCCAGTTTCAAGGTGCTTTAAATCAGCTGATGCTCGTCTGTAAAGGCAGCATGTTAATATAAACCAGTGTGTACATTCACAACCTGTGTGTGTGTGTGTGTGTGTGTGTGTGTGTCCTCAGGCAGCAGTGGTGTGTTGGTGGGAGACTTCAGTACTTCCACCCAACAGCTCCGACTGATGAACCACCTGCTGAGGTTTAAAGGTGAGATAACTGACAGTGTTTCCACTCTCGTGGTCTCCGGTTCTGAAATCATGCTAAAAGACTGAGACTGGATCTCGATTCTAACTGGATGTTTGCTCCTGCAGGTCCAGGACCCCCCAGAGACCGGACTCTGGTCCTGGTACAGCAGCAGCACATCGGCCTCCTTCTGTACAGCGTCGTATCATCAGCTGCGTCTGTGACCATCATCATCGCTCTGACGGCCCTCCTCCTCACCGTCATCAACCGTATATGGTAAACGGGTACAGCCTCTGTGGATCCACCTCAGTGTCGGACGTAGATCTGGTTTCGTCACTGTTGTTTGCCCCCCCACCCCCCTCTGCAGGCTGCTGAAGTCAGGCAGTGGATCCCAGGATGAGCTGCTGCTGCTGGGCATCCTGCTGTCCTCCTCCTCAGTCCTGATGTCCGGCCTGGACGGAGCCTCGCTGTCCGACCAGACATCTGAGGTCCTCTGTTCTGTGAGTTCAGATATAAAAAGTGATTAATACATAAAAAATAAATGCTTCAGAATCAGGAAGTTATAAGTAAAGTTTTGAATGGAGTATTTTTTACTTCGTTCATACTTCACCCACTGCTAGGTTGGTCTGTGGAGCTCTCATCCGTGGGACACACTCTGGGCCTTCGCCTGTGCTGTTCACCAGAACATGGAGGCTTCATTCGCTCTGCAGCTTCACACAGAAGGTAAACCGCTAACCCAGCTTTGTAAACCCACAGATCTGAGCCGTCTGTGCTGATTTCTGAATGGAAATGTTGTCTGTTGTTCCGTTCTGCAGCGAGCTGGCTGTGTGCTTTTGTCTGGGATGCTCCTGCCTGGATGTGTTTGTTTTTAACCTCCTGGCAAATGCCTGGGACCCCTCAGACGGGTTGGTGCTGCAGCATAGTTTAGAGGTAACAGTAACACCGAGGAAGATCCTGTACTTATGTTAGGAGTACAACAATGCTAGGAAACTACTTCATTACACGCCCTTGTCCTGAACTGTAAATCCCAAATAAATCAATAAAAGTCGTTCTTCTTCAGAGGGATTCCTGCTGATCAGGACGTTGTCATCCGACTGAACCTCTGAACGCCTGCAGCAGCGCCAACATGGAGCTGTGGCTCATGTGTTATCT